ACTAGAGGGCATCACCAGGTAAAACAAAAGAAATTGAAAATCTAAGCGACAGTACGAACAATGTACATAATCTTACCAAGACCTTCTTAGTTGCATCAGCAAAGTCCGCCAATAGTTGGTCGGCTATCGATAAATGTTGTGGCAGAATTGTACAATGTATACTGGTAGGAAACTGTTGTCTCTCCATCTTCCAGCCTGTATGCAAATAACATGTACAAAGTGATTCTATTCTATTCTATTCTATTCTATTCTATTCTATTCTATTCTATTCTATTCTAGTCTATTCTAGTCTATTCTATTCTATTCTATTCTAGTCTAGTCTAGTCTAGTCTAGTCTAGTCTAGTCTAGTCTAGTCTAGTCTAGTCTAGTCTAGTCTAGTCTAGTTAACCAGTCACAAAAAAAATGTAGTGTACATGTATGGCATGGTAAATTTAGTCACTGGTGTCTCAGTACATATAGGTCTAAGCACTGATCCCTTCACCTTTAATATTTGCTATAAAACTTGCCTATGATTACAGTGTTTTATAACATTGGAATCTATGCACAAAGTGGTACTCAGCAACCCCTAGCAACTGATTATGTATAAATACATCATTAAAAAAAATTGAGAGGTTTAATTAGTATGTCATTGGCTGAAACACTTTGACTGTTTTGATAAGTACAACAAGGAGCATGCCAAAACAGGACATGGTGAGATGACATTAATTAGGAGTTGTGCAAATCAGCGAGAACCTCAGATGAATTGCAAATGCTAATCTTTAAGTGGGTGTGCAAAATGTTACCTTTACAATGATAACAATGATTGCCTGGAATTTTGAATACTGAATCATAACGATAATAGACGCAGAAATATCTACGAAGATTTGTTGGAAGCAGGAAAGCCAAGTGACTTGTTTTTGCCTCTCAAATATTCTCCCCCATTTATTACTACAGTTTTAATGTCTTGGGTAACCATGGTAACAGCGGTGATAAGATGAAAGAAAATGAAACGTTAGTTGAGCAGCACTGTTCTCTTGCTTTCAGTAAGTTCTCAGCGGCAATTTACGTCTAACGTGCATTAGCTTCAAATATTCTGTGTATGATAGACCTGAAGATATAGGTACTCGGTGGATCATTAAAACTAGTATGAATATGAGGCTATTACGAGGATACCTCAAAGTATACACTCAGACAGTACACCATCGCATGGACGTCTACTGCACGTCAGCCGATACTTCTGCTGTACTGTCTTATTATATACATCTTATCCTTCAAAGGATACATCATGGGAATGCCGAAATCCAAAAAGTTTAGAACAGAATCAGTGAATTTCCTTGTGTGGAGTCCGTCAAACCCTGGTGGCAGCCGTTTTTTCTTTCTTTTTTTATTGGAGGACGACGCGCCAAATCATTCCATATTTGGAATTTGCATTTCCTTATATGGTAGGATGAAAATACCTCGTAAAATACCGCAAAATTACGACATGCTGTAACTTATGGTGTTACGGTGACAGATGTATAATAACATAAATTAATATTCTGTTGGTTTTACTAACCTTTGGTTTCCATGACATCAGCTACGGCCAAAAGGTCAAGTGATGGATCAGAAGCAGCAATGGCAAAGCACGTCATAGAAGGGTCGCCAAGAATTTTCAAACCCTAGTGATAAACAAAATAGTTTGCACTTTCTTGAAAAATTAATAATATGTTGTCCACAACAAATAAAATACCATTTTATATATTTATGTAAATACTGTAGAATACTTTATTTTCGCTTGGAATTAATTTTTACTGAAGGAATGATTCAGT